TGTTTGGGGGGGGGGGGGAAGAGAATTAGCTCCATTTTACAGGTGGGAAAAACTGAGGCATGAGGAAAAATGTGACTTACCCATGAAGTCACCCAGAAAGCCAGAAACAGGGCCTGAAATAAAACCCAGGTCTCCCTAGTCCCAACTTAGTGTTCCCTCCACTGGGTTATGTCCTTGCTCGGTCAGCTGGTTGTGTCAGTGGATGCTGATGCCACAGGTCAGCAGCGGGATTGTCCAGAGGCATAACAAGGTGGCCTGGCATCCAGGGTAGCAGGGTTTATGGGCGCAGCAGTGACTTCTGGGTGGCGCCATGCTGCCAGTGTGACTTGGCTGCTGTGGTGGCAGCTACTATTCATCTGCCTCCCAAGTAATTGCCCCTGCTGTCCCACCCTTGTTATGCTATTGGGATTTTCATGGTTTGGGAACAGGCTTTTTTTCTCCTTCCAATGCTGCCGCAGCCTCACGGGCAATTAACTCTTCCTTATATATTCCTCTCCTCCAGCCAGTGAAATACAGCCCTCTTTGCAGGTGTACATCTTACATAGTTTGATGTTCAGATGTCGAACCTGATCTCTGAGGTTGAATCTTAGAGCTCCAACTTCTGACGCTCTACGCCTGTTGTTTCGAGAGTATGCTTGTTTTTGCACTGACGTTCAACTCTGCTTTTTCTGCAGAGAGAGTGCAAGCAGAGATCAACACAGCGATTGGCCAGTCCCAGCAGCCAGCCATGGACGACAGAGACAATATGCAATACACCACCGCAGCTGTGCAGGAAATTCAAAGGATGGGCAACATTGTACCTTTAAATGTTCCCCGACTGACAACCAGGGACACAACGCTGGCTGGAGTCCATCTGCGCAAGGTAATCTGGAAGGCACCGTAGTCTGACTTCCTTTATCTGGGTTGAGGAAATTAATAAAGAGGAGAGAAAATCAGAGCTATGCAGCTAGTCACCTTCACATGTTGGGGCAAGCAGGGTGTGATTCAGAAGCTGAACCCACTTAACCCAGGTCCAGAGTCCTTAGTAATATAAAGTGAAATTCCCAGAGGGATACTTCCTCTCCAGCAGCGTTTCTCACTGACCCCCATCCAGCCTGCCAGTCAGGAGCTGCTCCTCATGGCAGGGAGCAGGCTGGAGTTCCTACCCCAGCCATTTTAGTTAGTTAGCTGGGCAGATTCGTCTTGTCCTCCCCCCCACCCTTTTTTGACTGATGCTTCGTCAAGTGCAGAACCCTGTCTCAGTGGTCTTGAGCTCATATCTGGGTGCATCTACACGAGACGTTTACTGCAGATCTAATTTACTGCACAGTAAACATCTCGGCGTCTACATGTGTGCTCCTATTAGGGTGCACGCAACTAATAAACTCCATGGCACAGCGGGACTTGTAAATACAAGTACTATCCTGCTGCAGAGTTTTTTCATGTGCAGCAGTGCACATGTAGACAGTGACTGGGGCTGGCTGCGGCACAAGGGTGTTTCAGTGTGGGGGCTGCCTGCCAACCAGCCCCGGGCTGAAGCACCCTCGTGCCCCAGCCAGCTCCTCTACAGCATGTTGAGCCGGGTCCCAGCAGCCCTGGGCAGGCAGGAGGACCCCCTGAGCCCCTGCCAGCTGGGTCTGCTGCAACCTGGCTCAGTGTGCTGCGGTCTGGGCGCATATGTAAACCGTGCGCTCAGGAGCATCCCAGGAGCAATAAGCTCCACAGTTTGTTGCTGCGTACTAATGACACATGTAGACATGTCCACTGAGGAATAACTTCATGCTGGAGCTCAGCCAGCGACCGGAGTTTTGTCAGTCAGTGTGACCCGTGCATTGCTCCAGTCACCTTATAAGATTATAAATAAATGAAAGAGGAAGAATAAATGTCCTGTCTAGAAAACACCCCGCTTCATACGTCATACAAGCTGAAAAAGAGAAGCTTGATCCAGCTTCTCTTTTTCCCTCTCTTTGCAAGTCACATTTAAAGTGGAAACAAAGATTGGGGTTTTTTTTTTTTTAAAGTCCTTCTTACTCTCTTCTCAGGGTACCAGTCTGATCTGCAACGTGTCAGTGCTGTACAACAAGAATGAGTGGGAAACTCCCAACGCCTTTAACCCTGAGCACTTTCTGAAGGATGGACAGTTCAAGAGGGAAGCTTTCCTGCCCTTCTCGGCAGGTGGGACATACTCGATTCTTTTCATTAGCATCAGGCTTGGGCCTCTGGGTTTTGGTTTTGGCCAGAGCACTTCTGTAAGGTGTCATGGAAAAAAGGAAAGATCAGCAATGGAAATCATGGCCAAGGCTTGGGTCCTGGGACTGAGGTGCATGTTGCCTTATAATGGACCAAAGTGAAGCCAGCTTGGCCTCGTGATTATGGTTGAGGGCCAAAAGGTGAGCCAATGTCAGAAGCAGGAGACCAGCTAAGCACCAGGGGTAGGGATGAGGGAGGACACATCAGCCTGGGTCCTGCTCCAAAGTGTTGCCTTAAATACTTGGGAGCTGTGTCCTGCAGCCAGTCTGCCAGAGCACAGAGTGCTGCGTGTACATCCCGATAAATATGGTAGAAGGCCCAGAGGGACTTGACCCCGTATCTCCCACTCCCCAGTAAAATGCTCTGAACCCCCCCAATAGAGAATAGGAACAGCAAGGAGCCACCTCTACCCCTTTTGTTCAAATTGGTGTACTGGGAATAGTCTGTGGGGTCTGGAAGAGCATGTGCTGAAGGGAGTGTGGCTCAGTGCATGGGCTCAGTCCGGAAAAGGAGAATGCTCCGGGTTTTGGTTTGGGACCCTCCACCACCCCTGCAACCACTACCTTTTTTGGCATGTGATAGTCACTGAATAAGTGGATAAGCAGATCCTGCTCCACTGGGGCCTGAAGACAAGACTCACCCTGCAGGGGTTGGAACCGATTCGCCCACTTGCTAGCAAAGTGCCCCCGCTACCAGACTGGAGACTCGGACCTGCACTGAGCAGCCTCTCCTCCTCCTCCTGTTAAGTCTGGCAGTCAAGAGAAGAAGACAGGTGGCACCAGGAGAGGTACATGCTCGAGGCAGTCTGGTTCATGGAAGTGGTCACAGGATGCGGCTCTGGCTTCTGGCCTGTCCCCACCCTCCCCCTCAACTCCGCTCATTTGGTTTTTTTGCACTGGATTTTCATTGAACGAAAAAGAGGGCGAGATGGCAGTGGGACAGACAGTGTCCCACTGTGGACAAGCTTATCCAGGGTCTGCTGGGAAAATTTAGTACTAAGCTAGCAAAAGAGAAGCTGGTGGTAAACACCATCTCCTAGCCTTTGTGGTCATGAAATAAAAGAAACGCTTACTCTGCTGAGGAAAGTTAAAGCCTCATTTGTCATGAAACCCAATGTCACTTTCTAACACCATCCTTTGGCTGATGCACCCAAATGTTGCTGTCATTTTAGGGAAAAGGGTTTGCCTGGGAGAGCAGCTGGCTAGAGCGGAGCTGTTCCTGTCTTCACTGCCCTTTTTCAGAGGTTCACGTTCCAGGCTCCAAAGGATGTGAAGCTCAACCTCCAGTTCAGAATAGGACTCACCACGAAGCCTCAGCCCTACAAAATCTGTGCCCTACCTTGCTAGGGAGAGGTGGGAAAAATTTTGCCATGACCTCATTTCTCAGAATTGCTGTAGATGGTGCTGCGAGCCCCATGCACAGGTCCCCAATTGCCCCTGTCTTCTCTGTATTAGAGGCATCACAAAAGGGCAATAGCTTGTTTGGGCTATGTACAGTCAAAAAGCCTGAGGCTCAATTAATTTAATCCTGGCAGGTTAGTCTAAATTGTGTAAATTGAAATGATAAGCAAGTGAACAGACATTCACTTTTGATTGCGGAAATGCAGCCACATGTCTGCATTGGCCCAGGCCAGAAGCCAGGGGTGCATTAGAGCAGGGGGTGTCAACTGGGGGTATGCGTACCCCCTGGGGTACTTGGGAAGGCCTCCGGGGCTGCAGGTGGGGACAGAGTGCTGCCACCCATCACCCTGCACTGCCGGCTCCCAGGAGCAGGGCCAAGGGGGTTGGGGGGACAAGGGCAGCAGCATCCCTCTGCGAGCCACACAAGCACTGCCTGGCCAGCCGGACGGGGGGGAAGCCTGCCACCACCCACCACCCCGCACTGCTGCCACTCTGCGTTCAGCTGCTGGGGCTCTACTTATGAAAAAGGTTGAAAACCCCTGCGCCTCCTATACAATATTTAACTGCTGCCCTTCATACTCCAGCACACTGGGGCAAATAAAGCACCGAGTACACATGGCCAAGCAGCCACTGCACGACAAGCTACCAAAGCAGAGGAAGAAGCAGAAGATGCCCTTCCCCATCTCACTGTGAAGAAATAACCCTTTCTCCCATGCTGTTTTTTGTCTGGTGTCTGAGCAAATCCTCAATGCTCACAACGAAGGGCAAGTGACAGACCTGGCCCAACACAACTTTCCCAATTGCTATGAGAGGGTGCAGCCGCCAAGTCTTCTGTGTGCTTTAAGCATCTAGAGTCTGAACAAGAGTCCAGCCACTGCTCTGGCTTAAACTCTTTTCTGTTGCTTGTTTGTGCCAGTGCCCGATTCCTACAGAGCTTGAATACACCTCCACCCACCCCAGAAGTGGGAGATTTCTGATTGACACATTTTGCCTCTTTCTTCAGTAGTCAAGAATGAGCATTTTGACACGAATGCAGGCTTTGCACATGGGTTCAGAAAACACCATTGTCTTACTGAACAGGCAAAGCACAAGAGAGCCTGAATTGCACAGAAAAACATCCTGAATACAACGGTCCTTTCTTTAGGTTGCCCTTCCTTTGGGAGGTGGTGTGTACTCAGGAGTCCATGGACAGATCCGGTACTCTTCCTTGTTGGGAAACCCTG